CCTCCAACTCCTGGGCTCAAGCGAGTCTCCTGCCTCAGCCTCTCGAGTAGCTGGGATCACAGGCACCCACCACAACGCCCAGCTAGTTTTTGGTTGCAGCTGTCATTGTTGTTTGGCGGGCTAGGCTGGATTCTAACCCGCCACCTTGGGTGTACGTAGCTGACGCCTTAGCCACTTGAGCCACAGATGCTTGGAAATCAACCTTTGGAAGTTAATGAGCATCTGCAGAGGAAAATGAAAAGGTAATAAGAGGGAAAATCCTTCAGTCTTCAACTTCACTTTGTGACAAGGAGATAATCTCTATCGCTGAATCCCTAGCTGTGCCACCTTCCTGCAGCTTATATTTCTATTCAGAGTGACAGTCTTTCAGAAAAGCAAGATGTGTTTTTGGTTGTGCCAGGAAAACTGGCATGCAGCATATTTGATTTTCTCCAAAATTGCTTAATAAAAAACTTACATAATAAATACATTTTGTTTTAATAATTTCAAGTTGTATGAGGTGGTGCACATGTATAATCCCACGTACCTGGGTAGCTGCAGCAAGACGATCATTTGAGAAGAGAAAACAAAGACCAAAAATATATGAAAATTTAGCCTGGCACATTGGCACACACCTGTAATACTAGCCCTCTAGGAGGGTAAGGCGGGTGGATCACTTGAAATCAGGAGTTTAAATCAGCACGAGCAAGCGTGAGACCCTGTCTCTATTAAAAAGAGAAAAACTACTGGACATTGTGGTGGGTGGCTGAAGTCCCAGTTACTTGAGAGACTGAGGTGAGAGGATTTCTTGAGCCCAAGATTTTAAGGTGGCAATGTACTATGACACAAGAGTCACTCTACTCAGGGTGACAGAGTTAGACACCCTGTCTTAAAATATATGTATATATATAACAATTTTTAAAATATATTTTCGAATAACCTTCATGTTGAACTGACATTTACATGAATTTACAGTACATTCAGAACGTACTGATGTGAGCCTACTATAAGGCCAACAAATTTTATCTTAAAGGTACATAATCTCAAGAGTGTAAGAGAATAACTAGTGTGAAGAACACGTATGTAATTCCCGTTTACATTCAAGAGTTACTGCTTTTTCAAAACAACCCTTAGTGACCACTTACAGTAGCCTGAACACTACAGGCCCCACGGTTGTCCCACTGAAAGTCTCTGAAAATGAGCTTAGGCTTGAAGCCCTCCCTCTGGAGTGAACTGCGAATAGAAACGGAAAGGATTTCTAGTGTGTTCTGTTGGGCATCAGCCTTAAACTACACATTCAGCCCAGGGAGGGGTTTGCAATTCACATTGTAGTTTGCCTCTCCCACACCGACATCCCTGGAGTAGTTAATGTGATTACACAACTTAATTTTAATTGCAGGAACGTTCCTGGATTTAATCACCAGCCGACGCTGACGGTCCCAGCTAGATTCTAGTTTCGTGACTCTGAATAGTTCCTTGCCTCTTCCGACGTCTTCTCCCATAAACCCAGGAAACTGGGCACCTGGGGAACAAGAACGCCCGAATGGTAGGCCCCGCCCAGGCCCGCCCCTCCCCTGCGATCCCGCCCCAAGTCCGTGCCGGCCCTTGAGGTCCCGCCCCGTGTCCGTGCCCGCCCACAACCTGTAAAGTTCCTCCGCCTCTCCTACCTGTGCGGGTTACCTCACACCCGGAAGCCACTCACTGGAACGGACGCGATCCCGAGCCTGGTGAGTTTCTCTTTTTGCGATCACGTGTTCGTTTCTCACTCCCCAGCCCCTCTATACCCGGATTCTAGGGGCCGTTGCGACCTCACATTTCCTCATGGTCCTTCTACTCCGAGTAAATTCACGTCCCAGTGAGCGGCCGGAGTCTCTTCCCTGTGGACTGAGTCGCCCTGAGGCAGGTCCTGGCCCCGGTCTTTCTCCCACAGGTATGGGAGACACCCCATTTTGCACCGTGTCGCTCCTAATGCCCTTGAGTGACCCCTGCACTCCCTCCCGCGCCCCTTAAAGTCCTCACTCAGGTGGGGGATTCACGCACTTCCGGGTCCCAGGGCTCACCCGAGTGTCCCTGGAGGGCAGCGCCGCAGCCCCGCTCTCCGAGGAGCCCCGTCCTGTCCCTGTTCCAGGGTTTCTGCAGACCCCACCTCTGCCCTAATCCGTCCCCTCAGCCCTACCCTGCCGTTGTTCTTGGCGGGTCAGCTCCCCAGGACAATTCTCAGTCACCAGTTCCTCTAAGTGGCGTGTGACACCAAATGTCCTTTCAAAGGTAATTCTTGTGCGCTGTTCGGGCGAGCATGTTATTCCTATTTATTATGATGAATGTGTGGAGTAACAGAGACGGAGAGGAAGTGGGAGGACATAGGAAAACTTAGAGGAAGAGTGAAGGAGACTCAAGGAGAGAGCATACCCTGGAAAAGTGAGGTCTATGAGAACAGAGATCTTCTCAAGAAGGCCCCAAAACAAACCTGCAAGGACCTCCCCGTGGTGACTCAGCTTTAAGAATTTTAAGACACTTTGCTTGGCGCCTGTGGCTCAAGCGGCTAAGGTGCCAGCCACATATACCTGAGCTGGCCGGTTGGAATCCAGCCCGGTCCCGTCAGAAACAATGACGGCTGCAACCAAAAAATAGTCGGGTGTTGTGTTGGACGCCTGTAGTCCCAGCTACTTGGGAGGCGGAGGCAGAAGAATCACTTAGGCCTAGGAATTGGAGGTTGCTGTGAGCTGTGACGTCAAGCACTCTACCCAGGGCGACAGCTTGAGGCTCTGTCTCAAAAAAAAGAATTTTAAGGCACTTGACTGCCTGAGACCTGGAAACTAATATTTGGTTCCACGTCTGTCTGCAAAAGCCACAGCCCGCTTCTCTAGCTTATTCAAACTGACCAATGAGAAAGATACACTTGAGCTGGAACTTTTGAATGGAGATAAAAAGAAGATGAAACCTGTCAGAGAGTGAGGCCATTTTGGACTTTAGTCACCCTTTGCTTCCCTGGAATAAAGCCCTTTCTCTTTTTTTTTTGAAACGGAGCCTCAAGCTGTCCCCCTGGGTAAAGTGCCATGGCATCACGCTCACAGCAACCTCCAACTCCTGGGCTCAAGCGAGTCTCCTGCCTCAGCCTCCCAAGTAGCTGGGACTACAGGCGCCCGCCACAACGCCTGGCCATTTTTTGGTTGCAGCCGTCATTGTTGTTTGGCGGGCCGGGCTGGGGATTCGAACCCGCCACCTTAGGTGTATGTGGCTGGTGCCTTAGCTGATTGAGCCACAGGCGCCGAGCCAAGCCCTTTCTCTTTTAAACAGGGTGTTTGGGTGTTCTTTTGCTCTCCACTGGGCCTGGACTTCCTGGAACACCATGAATACTGCCCAATATAAGACGTGGGAGGGATTCGCAGAGACTGGAGAGTGAAAGCCTAAGGTGTAAGGTAGCAGTGGAGCCAAAGTGGATGTGGAGCAATAGGTAAAGTTTATTTGCCACCTCTGTGAAGGCGGGCTGAAACTCAATAGGCACCATCTTGGAAGATCAAGAGTGCTTACCTTTCAAAGGTTTTAGGTAGGTTGGGTGCAGGAGAATGTTACTTTAGTGTCCTAGTGTCTGGCCATGTAGAGTTTCAGCTGCCTACCTGCTGAGACCACTCTCTTTACTCCTCTGGAGCCATTGTGTCCCATAGTTCCTCCTTCCTGGCTGAGTCCCTGAAGGGATTGGTTTCAGCACAGGTCACTGAACAGCCAAGATAGAGTGCCTTATGCTCAAAATGGATGGCCAGTGCTTGCTCTGATTTTGGAATTCTTCTGGCCAACCTAGCAGAAGGAAGGACACCAGGGGTTGGGGTAGGGGGTGAGGGGAAGTTCCTGAAGCAATTTTCAGAAAACCTAGACAGATGAAGGAAACTAACATAGGGCAACTGGCAGCAAATGGAAAGGGGCCTCAGCCAGAGAGTCCTGGGAAAGCAGGAATGATTGGAAGTCAGGGCAGACAGAGCAGCCTGGTGCTGGGACACCAGAAGGGGGTGACCAGGAGAGCAGACAGGGAACCAAAGCTGGGTGGGAGAGAAGACAGGGTATGTAACAAGGAAGAGGAAATTTAACATGGGGAGCAGATGGGGAAAAAAGAGGGAGAGCTTTGTGAGATTGAGATAGTCAGAAGATTGGGGAGAAAGAGCTGCAAAAGGTGACACCTTTTACAAATGGAGCAGAATTGGTAAAAGAAAGAAAAGAGGGAAGATGGGGAGAAAGAGCAGGAGAGAGGGCCACAGAATGAGGAGCAGAAGCCCAGGGGGAGACAGAGGAAAAGAGAAAAGCAAGAGCAGAGGAGAGAAGGGTGAGGATGAGTGATTTGTAGAGAATGAGGGAGAGAAACACAAGGAAATGAAGACAGAGGAGCCCAGAGCCCAGATGAGTCTTCATGTGATTGTGTGTGATGATTAAGTTGTGACACAGTGTTTCCCCTATTTGTAATCTAATAAGTTTAGCATTTCCTGCAAACTTAGAGACGAAGTTGAGAATTGCACAACTCCTGTTCATAATGCTCATGCATGAAATAATTCCTGGCCTCACAGGCTAGCCTCCATGTGTAGTCCAGATTCAGCCAGAGGCCAGTGAGTTGACTCATTCCATTGAGGGTCACCCTTTTCCATTTTCCTAAGATGGGGTAAGGAGTGTGAGAGTGCCTGAGATAGGAAGAAAAACCAAAGTGTTTTTCCTACTTAAAAAAAATTTTTTTAAAGATAGAGTCTCACTTCGTCACCCTTGGTAGAGTGCAGTGGCGTCACAGCTCACAGCAACCTCTAGCTCTTGGGTCTAGTTGATTCTCTTGCCTCAGCTTCCCTAGTAGCTGGGACCACAGGTACCCACCACAACGCCCAGCTATTTTTTGTTGCAGTTTGGTTGGGGCCAGGTTCAAACCCGTGACCCTCAGTATATGGGGCTGGCACCCCACTCACTGAGCCACAGGCACCGCCCTGTTTTTCCTACTTTTATAATCAGGAAGTCTATGAGTGCTCAACACAGAATATGCCACCTCTGGTCACTGACATGTGTGGGAGTCATTCCTCATCAGCATGGAGCTGTCTGTCAGATACCCATAGGGTGTCCATAAGGTAACTGAGTTGTGACACTGTCTACCTGGACATGGGATCAGATCTTTAGTTGTCGGGCTCAGTCCCATGAGGCTGCCCCACATCAGGTGCCAGTCCCAGGTCCCCAGTAGGGACCAGAACTTATGACTGAACAGCTATAAATTATGTGTTTTATGACTCTTTGCTCCCATTTTCGTAATTTTGCAAAGCTGTTTATAAACTTAGGAAAACATTTTCCAAAGTTTGACTCTTTTGATACGGGAATATTCCAGAGCACATACATGAACAAAAAGAAGCAAGAGCCATTCTCACAGATAAATGAAAACCTGGGAGGGGTGTTGGAAAACATGATTTTTATCCACGTGTGAAGAAACAGTCTTGGTGACTCAGTCCTTGGGATCTGACCCTATCCACATGTCGTTACTATGTCAAAATCAAGTTAGATTATGGGGCACCCAGCTGGGAGTCCCTCAAAGTAATGGTCACTGGGGGAAACCACACAAACATTAGTGACTAGATGTAAAATATTCTGTGTGCAGAATGAGGAGTTTTTCCTATTTCAAACATTAAAGGGAAGACATTTTCTAACAACCCACCTTCCCTGAGGGCCTGGAACCCAGTAGTGACAGGGAATGACATATCTCCACTCCTAGGTGTTGCTGGCCCTGCAATTCTGCATCATTGCCAGTCCCACTCAGAGTCTCACAGTGGCCTGGCATTCTCCCTTCATAGCTTCATCAATTTTTATTTTTATTTATATATTTATGTTTGGAGGTGGAGTGTGTGTCACCTGGTAGAGTGCCCTAGCATTATCATAGCTCACAGCAACCTCAAACTCTTGGGTCAAGAGATCCTCTTGCCTCAGCCTCCCCACTACCTGAGAGTAGAGGTGCCCACCATGACACTTGGGTAGTTTTTCTGATTTTAGTAGACACAGGGCCTCACTGTTGCTCAGGCTGGTCTGGAACTCCTCAGCTCAAGGGATCTTCCTGCCTCAGCCTCCCAGAGTGCTAGGATTATAGGTGTGAGGCACCAGGGTGTCCAGAATTTCTTCCTTGAATCTTTTGTCATCTCTGTCCATAACCTGCCTTTCCTTATTATCTCACGTCATGGTTTAAACCCCTGTGACATGTCTCTGTTTTCCCCATAGCCCTCTCCCCTGAACTCTGGAATTCAGTGTCTCATTGTGTCCTTACCTCTCTGGTGGGCCAAGTAACAGGCATGTCCACTTTCATGTGTCCTAAGGGGACTTCCTGAGCTCTGTGAAACATATTCTCCTAGAGTCCTCATGTCTCAGAGCAGAACAACCCTGTGCTCCCTGGGGCTCATGGAACTTCTTGTCAAATATTTAACATGGTAACTGCCGTGTGAGTTGTACTTAAATAATACAAGTTTTGAACCTGTGGCCTCAGGAAGCCTATATCACTCACATATCGATTGACCTGTCTTGACATAAGGAAACACTATGGCCCCAAGGAATAATTTTCTTATACTGTGTTGTAATATGTAAGACATGGTAAATCTTGCTCTGTTGCCTGGGCTAGAGTGTTGCGTCATCATCATATCTTACAACAACCTCAAACTCTTGGGATCAAGGCTTCTTCTTGTCTCAGCCGGCCTCGTACCTGGGAATACAGGTGCCCACCATGACACCTGGCCATTTCTTCTGTTTTTAGTTGAGGTAGAATCTCACTGTTGCTCAGGTTATTCTCAAACTCCTGAGCTCAAGGAATCCACCTGTCTGGGCCTCCCAGAATGCTAGGATTACAGGGATGAGCCACTGCACCGGGCCAAGACATATCTTTTTTTTTTTTT